CTATCTATCTATCTCTAGTTACCCGCCTACCCATCCATCCATCCATCCATCCATCCATCCATCTATCTCTCTCTTTTATATTTTTATTTATTTTCGTGCTGCCCTTCTTGCTATCCAAAGCGATTCTTCGGTCTTCTTTTGCGTCATGGCCCTATCTGCTAAGTTTCTCCCGAGTGAATTCTCTGCATTTTTAAGTCTGTGGTGTTGATGGTTGCACGAAACCAGACTTGTCAGTCCAAACATGCTGGTAGAACCGGTTTCTGAAAATCGAAACCCAGTGGGACCACTAGAGGGCCAGAAAGAGTGAGACTTTTAACTGATGCTTTGCTGCCCTCTAGTGGTTGGCTCAGAGGTTTGCAACCCAGATTGGGTCTTGTAAGAGATAAATTGCCTTCGTTCACCGTTTGGCGGTGATGAAAAAAGTGACTTTGGAGTCAGGTACAATCTTTGAAGCAAGGAAAGTCGAATTCAGATCCTAAGCACAGTTGCAAGTTCCATTAGTGACCACTTCACTTAATTGGTTCCAACCATGGTCGCTAAATGAGGGTTGTACCTTTGGATATTTTGTGCTGCGCAGATAAGTAAATTAGTAAGGGGGCTTTGGGCAGCTAAATTTGAAATAGACAGGGAACTAACAGGCCTGGCTTCTTGCCCATTCTGGGGCCATCACCAAAAGCCATGGTACTCATGGGGTTTCACTTAGCGACCACTTCATTTGATCAAGTTGCCTGTCACAAATGTGGTCACTAAATGAGCTATAAATCCTTTGTGCTGTGCAAATAAGTAGTTTAGTAAAGATGGTTTGGGCAGCTGAATTTGAGAAGGCTGAATTTTTTTTGTTTCCTGGGATGCCACCGCCTGAAGCCATTGGTACTCCCCGCGTTTCACTTAGCGACTGCTTCACTTAAGGGCCACATTGCCAGGACCAACTGTGGTCGCTAAATGAGGATTGCCTTTAATCCTTTGCGCTGTGCCACCACCAGAAAGCCAAGGTACTCACTGGGCTTCATTTAGCAACTGCTTCGCTTAAGGACCACGCTGCCTGTCCTACTCATCGCTAAACGAGGATGCTGATTAATCCTTTAGTGCCATAGAAACCATCGTTACTCACCGGTTTTTCGGCCCTCTGCCAGGGGCCGAAGTTTTGTCCGCAGAATTCATTCAAGGACCGAGGAGTGCGTCGCTTGAGGGAGCCACGGGGTCTTCGGCAGGCCTTGCCACGGAGGAAAAGAAACCCCGGCTGAACGTGGCCATGAAAGTGACGGAGGTGGACAAAATGGACGCCAAAGAACCAAGTAAGATGGCGGCAGTTCAAATACGGAAACCCTAGCTGGGGGAAAAATAATAATAATTTTGCTTCCTCGTCCTGCATATCTTCTTTTCTTTTTTTTTTAAAGCTGGGGCAGGGATGAGAAGCTGGTACAGCTGGTACTCACTTAACAACCATTTGTTTAGTGACCGTTTGAGGTTAGCCCTGAAAAATAGAAGAGGATTTTACAAATGGTTTCCACATTTGGCACAGCGGGCCCTTGGCGACGGGTTCAGATAACAGATAATCAGAGCTGGAAGGGACCTTGTAGGTCATCTAGTCCAACCCCCTGCCCAAGACCCTGCACCATTTCTGACAGAGGGCAGTCCGATTTCAGATTTATGACGGTTCCATTGCCCTGGGGTTGCCATTTGCAGCCTTCCCAGCCAGCTTCCAACAAGCGAAGTCAAAGCCGGGGGCGGGGGAGTGGGAAGCTGTTCACTTTACGACTGCCTGATTCGCTGAACGAACGAGCAGGAAAGGTTAGGGATCTCCGGTTTGGGCCATCTAACCATGGAAGCGCAGCATTGTTTATATGAAAAAAATAAAAATAAAACCTCAGCTACTGGACCGGTAGATGCCCTCAGTTTATAGCCGGTCACGAGGTGATCTAGTTCGATGTGGCACCCCACAATCACACTGAGTGGAGGATACGAATGCGAATCCTATTCAGGATCGTCCATTGCTGACATAGTTAAGCTTGGCACCTTTTGAGAGGGGTCACTTGTCCATTTATTTTACCCATTTTAATCACACTTGGCCAATAAAGAATTCTAATTGTAATTGTAATTCTAATTCTAATAATTCTAATTCAGTTCCGATTCTAATTCAGTCCTAATTCTAATGCAACTCTAATTCTAATAATTCTAACTCAACTCCAATTCTAATTCAGTTCTAAATCTAATTCAATTCTAATTTTAATTTAACTCTAATTCTAATAATTCTAATTCAACTCCAATTCTAATTCAATTCTAATTTAATTCTAATTCAAATACAACTCTAATTCTTTCTGTTAATCTGTTAATACAACTCTAATTCTAAAAATTCTAATTCAACTCCAATTCTAATTCAGTTCTAATTCTAATTTAATTCTAATTCCAGTCATTGCAATTTTAATAATTCTAATTCTAACTTCAATTCTAATTCAGCTCTAATTCTAATTTAATTCTAATTCAAATGCAACTCTAATTCTTTCTGTTAA